ATAAAATAAAATAAAGTACTAGATGGAGTGTGTGTCAAGAGGCAGTTCTCTCCCCAGACCCTGCCTGAAGAACACTGGATTTGCCCAAGAGAAGGGGCGATGAGGACAGTATGTCAAGATTGTCCCAGAGATTCCCAGAAAAGGATGCGGCACCAGGAAAAACTGACGCGGTGACTCTCTCACAGATGCAGGGGCCTCCTCTGTGTCTTCCATAGGAGGCTACGCAGGTGAAATCGTGTTGCAGCAAAGTCTGTCGCATGAACATTCCAAAAGAATGAATCAGCACAGAGCTTCCAAGTGTAGTTTCCCTGAAGTGTAATTTAATTCTAACCAAATAAAAGATGCCTTCACTAACATGCTGGAGTATAGAGTGCAACTATGGTTCTGTGCTTTTTTTTTTTTTTTCCCCTGGGTTTTGTCATGATACATTCCTGTTCCCGGCAATGAAAATTACATTATTTTGCCCCATTTCTAGCCCCACCGATCCGTGACATATCATCTTACTTGTATTTAAGATATTCTAATCACCAGCGAAGAGTTTCCAAACCCAAAGGCCAAAAAGATGCACCAAAGCTTCCTTCTCTCTTCTACCCCCTTTCTCTTCTCCTTCCTCCACCCCACTGAAGGCTTTGATTCTCAATAACAAGAGTGTCTGAAAAGTGAATGGAAAAGAAGCAGGAGGCTTTTAATTATTTGCTCTCTTCCACTGGTTGTGCTACCTTTGCAGAGGCAAAGGCCATTTTCCTTTTTCTTTCTTTCTTTCTTTTTTTTTTTTTTAGGCACTAAAATCATACCTATCAAGTAACGAAGCAGTAGCAGCCAGAGTCCTATAAGTCTATGGGACTGGTGGGGGTAGAGACTGCCAAAGATTATATTCAGTCATGTTCAGTCAAATAGAATTTTCATCATCACTTTATGTCACTTTACCTAAAAGAAATACCCAGTTCAATAAAGCACTCGAGAGAAATAATTTTCTAAACACACGGGGCGATGCAGTGGCACGCCGTCAAAGCCCTGGACTCCCACGTTACTGTGTCTGCAAGCCCTACCTCTGCAGACATGAAAATCAATGTAACAATTCCATGTACAAGGCGAGGCCTATGGCGCTGCTAATGTCCCCTTGCTGGACATACACCTTAAGTCTCAGAGCTCTCAGGAGGTTTGCTGTGGAATAAAATTAGATTCCAACATCTGCCACCATTAAGGAAAAAATTCCATTTCCATCTCCCATATGAAAACACTATAACCAATGAACAGTAACTGAACCTTGATACTGTAATGGTTATTACCCAAATCAACTATTTTTTTAAAACAGTAAAATTAGCAAATTCTGCTCTCATAATTATTTGAATGTTATCAGACTAAATGTTTGATAAAATTCCAGTATGATTCACTTGGAAAAACTGCTGGTTATTTGAATACCCAGAATATAAAGTGTATTCATTTGCAGCTACTCACATTATGTTTAAAGCATATCATCCTTTTAAAGTTTGCATTAGCCTGCTCTCCTACCCAAGCACAAAAAGTAGCCTACCTTCAGTCTTTACTTGCATATCTTATTCAGACATTTCTATTAGAGTTAAAAACAATCTCATTTCTATTACTCATCAAAGAGAAGACAGAATCCATGTAAAATGGTGGAATCCACAGAGTTGGTTTCTTTTACTGAAAATACTTGGTGCATTAGTCAGTACATAGCACGACTATGATGTGTCTGGTTTCATAACATTCTGGGACTGTTTGAAATTTTAAAAATGATTATGCTGCCTGCCACTCAGGATACCTACACCTCAAGCTTTACCTTTTAGTCTAAAACGGAAAGTATTTGAGATAAATACATAGATAATAAAGAAGTCACTCTGTGGAGAGGTCTGAGCCTCTTGCTGAGCACATCATAAGACGTTATCCATTTGTGTAGAGTGCTGTATGATTTAAAAGCTCTTCTGCATCTATTATAGCATATGATCTTCTCCCATGGTAAAAGAATCTTGGGCTCAAAAAGGTTAAATAATTTCTTAATATTCTAACACCTACTTGGAGTCCTACTTGGAGTCTACCAAGAACCAAGAAATTGGGGTTGGCTCTACTACTTATCAGTCTGGTGACTCTCATGTATAAAATGAAGAAAACAGGGCTAGCTCCAAAGGTTATTCTGAGAATTAAATGTAGGTCATACATAGCAAACAGTGGGGACTAGCACAAAGATGGCGCTGGACAGTTAGCCAACTCAGAGGACTGGAAGCAAATGGAGTGAGATGGGCTGGGGTAAAAGTGACTCCAGCTCTCCCCTCTTCATACACGCTTCATTTTCAGGGACTTCTGCCTCATTCTGACAAGCTGTGGCACATACATCTCAGAAGTAAATAACTCTTTTGGAAGTTAAAAATTTTGACCATAAAAGGGTCAGATTTGAATATTTTGTTTGTTTATTAGTTCTTCTGTTTCCTTCACAAAAATCATGGCAGAACAGAAGTTAAATAGTGACTATTTTCCCTCGTTAAGTCTGACTTCTTCTCTCAGTGACATATATACTTTTTGGACCACTTATTTTTAAGTAATCATCAATCCTTCTACATATTTTCCTACCAAGGGTAGTGTTGACACCTAAACTGAACGACAAAGGGAAAAGCACAAAAACCCTCTGTCAGGGAGTTAGAGGATATTAGTAGTTAGGAATAACTACCCAAAAGAATGAAAGTTACCAGTATGCTTGACCCCACCGCCAACCACCGGCTCCTTGGATTCTCTCTTAATCAGTAATGAGGGGATTAGCTAACAGCTTTAGGGGTTCTGGGAAACACACCATCCTGGCAGAGACCTAGAAGCTTCCAGTCGACACTGCTGAAACAGACTCATGGGAAGCTTTGGAGGACAGGGATACAAATGGCAAGCATGTTTAAAAAATTCACCAGAACATCACTCATGTGACATTACCCGCCAATTGTTGCCGCTGTCTAAACAGCTCCCAAATCAGTAACTCGGGCCAGGTGGGCAGATTTGGGGATATCATTTAAAAGAAAGAAAGAATGAAGGTAGCAAAGGGGATGCTAACTGAAAGGAGCTATGCTATAGTCAGAAAGGAAATGGGGAGGCAGAAAATGTCACCGAATTAAGTGACAGAGGACAAGCAATTAAATGACAGTCACCAGGTCTGACCCTTATTATTGTAATAATACATGTCTAGTTTTTTGTTCATTTTAAGTCTGACCCTTATTATTGTAATAATACATGTCTAGTTTCTCCATTTATCTATTTTCAGGATTTGGAGAAAGTGTTTGGCTCCATAATAATACAGTCTGTTATTCTTGATAAATGTAATTGGACAGGTCAGAAAAGACGCAGGACCAGAAAGAAAGGCAAGATAATATACGTTTGACGACGAGATCCTCATCATAATTAGACTAAAGAGTCAAAACAAGAATGTGCACGGTGGGTGGGTGAGGGGCAAAGTGAGAGCAGGACATTTCTCCTTAATGCATAGTCTTGGCATGTAAATGAAGACATCTGAAGAAGCACACAGGTTTGAAGCGGCTCTAACATTCTATCATAATTAGAAACATTTCAAGAGCCCTGTAATTTCCAATCAAAATTACAGTAATTTCCGATATACAAGCCATGATTCATGACAGAATTTTACATTCCATGAGAGATTACGGTGGCCTGATGTATGACACGCTGAGTACAGCACTAACATAAACAATCCAGTTTAATGTTTAAACAGCACTTGATGTTTAGAATCTCACAATAAAAGAAACATATTATTGTAGAAATTATCACTTTGACAGTGATTGAAGGGTAGGCAGGCATGTGGCCTATAAAGCTATAATTTTTACAGTCCACAGCTTGAGTTTAATCATTTTTATATAACATTTCCAAGATATCCCTTAAGTATTTTATCCAGCATATAACTTAAATAAGAACAACCTTTTCTAAAGCAAAACCCCTATCAAGGACCACTACTAACACTGATAAAGAAAAATTTTAGGAAGAGCCAAAAAAAATAAAGTATGGTATAGTAAATGCTACATATTGTAAATACTCTCAGAATTGTCTATTTTTATCAGAAGTTGACGGCAGCCAGGCTATTTTATAAAGGAGAGTTCATTAATGATCATTAATGATCGGGAAAATATATTTGTTTAAAATCACAAGTTGTTAAAATCTCACCTCTAAATACCCACTTTCATAATGTTACCAAATATTGTTGTAAAGGAGAAGACAGTTTAGTACTCTTCCAGTCCTTTAAAAAGTATTCTTCGCTTTGAATGAGGGTTTATGAGCAATTATAAGTTTGCTCCTATAGATGACTCTGCTTTTGATAAGCACAAATTTTCAACATATGAAAATTATACTGATAAAGGACTGCCTTATCTCTCCTTTGTTATGTTCTCATCTTGTTGGTAGGGACTTGCAACTTTTCTAATTCAATTCTATTCATTTATAATTCATCAGATTTGGACAGGTTTTCTAATTGTAATTCAGTTTGTATGGCTTATATATGGTGTATCTATGAAAAAACTTACGGTCATTAATGGGCAAAGATATGTGTGGTGGACGTGCTCGTTTGTGTACCTAATAGTTGTGGATGCCTGAATTGGAACAGAAGAAACTATTATGTTTGTAGTCTTTTAGGATGGAAATCAAGGTCATCTGAGCAATAATGAAACAATAGCGATTCAAGTTACTTGTCCCAGTACAATAGACCACATTGAGAAACTGCCTCTACGTTATGATACTCTTCTGAAAACAACTATTAACTGACCCCGAGATTTCCTGAGAAATCCCTGGTCTGGAGAATGGGTGTTGGAGGAAACAACAAAAACCACGTATCTACTGCCTGAATCTGAACAACACTTTGTTTCATCACAAAGCTCTGTCGAGAATCCTGGAGACCATTCCTCTCAGTGATGCAGGTTCATACTGAAAACAGACCCCCCTCTGAACGAAACTTGCACTGGCATCGCAGATCAACATTCTCAGTGCCTAACCGAGGTTCTTACCTGGCTTTTGGTTGCGGCAACCTTTGCAAAGAGTGCTTGGGACACTTTGGCGCGCTTCATTTCCTGCTGAATCTCATCATAAATGGAAGCATTAATGTTCATGGTATTGTTCTCTTGTTTCCCATTCCTCTCAGTGGCAATAGTAGCTGTTTTCACCTACAAAACATTTTGAACATGACTGTCATTTTTCATTGGCCAAATTGTTTTGAAGCTTTTCAGGCTCGGCATCCAAACTGGACACTGTTGCTCCTTTTATGATCAAGGTGATCAACAGTGCAGTCATTCAACATTAGTTATTACCCCGAGATCAGATTGCTTAAGTTAAGAAAGTCACATTGTCACAGGTGATCGCGTCTGTAATAAGACAGCCACTGCCAGCTGACAAACAGGAATTAGAATGCCATAAAGTAAGTTTTCTGGAAAACAGAATAGTTTCAAAGACTTGAAAACCCTAAACTAATTGTTTCCCAATTACTGTCCATTGCAATTCTAACAAAGGAAATTCACAATTAAAATCATAATGCCCAGTGCTGTATCTTCACTGGGTGCCCGGTGCCTAATAGATAATTGCATCACTAATAGCTATTACATCCTATGGCCTTTTTAATTTTAGACTCCTTTTTTTATGCCTGTTCCTCTTATGTTTCATTTAAAAAATCTTCCATAACAAAGCCATTTGCAGAGCTGCATATTTAAATCTTCTATCCATCCATGAAACAGGTAGAGCGCCTTGCTTAATTATCATAAAGGCTGGTTGCATTTTACACGTGCATGTCCAAGCTGTTCTGTATAATTATTTCATCTTTTCCTGGCACCCCTGTACATAACTATTTCCTTTTGACTCGTGGAACCAGACAGTAAGAAAATGTTTCACAATATTTAACAGAATATTATTTCAAGTTACACAAATTATATAATCAGTGACTTTATAAATACATTCAAATGAATAATCTTGAGTAAAAAATTAGTACCAATGTCTTTGGTAATAATGATAAGCAGGTGTCAGCAGTAAAAATTTGGGAGTAAAAATAAAATCTCAACCTCAAAATTTATTGATACTATTATTAATTTCTAAAACTCCAAATTTAATTTTTATTAAGCAGTTATGTGAACCAGTCTGGAAAATTTACGTATGAACTATGCAGTTGCTTTTTCACTAGGAAATTGGTGAAAATGTCAATGAAAAGTTACCCACAGATGGAGGACCCTGTTTCTCCCAGCCAGATAATTCACTGCGGACCACATCTCTTAGGATCCTTTCCAGAATCTGGGTTTCTGTTGCATCCTGGACAATTTCTCACATATACAATAAGCGATCGAAAATGAAGTCCATTTTGGAATAAATGAATGATTTCTTTTGTCACGAAATGATACACCCCTTTAGTCCCGCTCTAAGTCTTTTGGGCCTACTTCATTTTCCCCTTAATATTTGGTATCAAAAGACGGGCAGAGGTTATCCTAAACAATTTGATCCTCTGCACTTAAGACACTAAATAGGAGTCTTAAAACATGCCTTGGGGCGGCTGGGTGGCTCAGTGGATTAAAGCCTCAGCCTTTGTCTCAGGTCATGATCCCAGGGTCCTGGGATCAAGCCCTGTATCCAGCTCTCTGCTCATCAGGAAGCCTGCTTCCTCCTCCTCTCTCTCTCTCTGCCTGCCTCTCTGCCTACTTGTGATCTCTGTCTGTCAAAATAAATAAATAAGTCTTAAAAAAAATGCCTTCTAACTTCTAGCCAGTTAGCAAAATAACTCATCTCTTGCTTATCTGGGAGGCAGCTCATCTTTCCCCCTCAATCCTACCCTTCTAAGCACTGAAACAATGATACTGTGAAATGGGTGCACCACAGGCCCAAGTGAGGAAACAGAGAGTAAGACAGGACAAGCGACCCACTGGTTGGCCCCCAGTTGCCACTGCTAAACTCTAAGCAGGAGACGGGGATGGCAAGTGTGTAGGGTCAATTTCCAGAGCCCCCCTTCTAGCTCTGTGACCCCAGAAAGCAAGGGCACTTACAGAGGTATATTAAGGACTGGAGGCCACTAAGAACATCCACAGGGCTCTGAAGCAACATCTGCTAAATACCACCTGGGGAGCCAGAAGAGTTAATGCATTACCATAAACTGCCTACAAAGTTGCTTTGGTGAGATTCGCAACTTTGCTCTGGGGTGGTCTTGCTTTGAGGCAAAAGGATAGATTTGATCACCCCAGGGGGTCTCTCTTAATACCTATTTTTCTCACTGTTTAAATGAAAGAGAAAAGAAAAGCCATTTCAATCGCTTTGAAAATTGAATGTTATGGAAATGGGAGCATGAAGTCCGGGGCATCGGAAAAAAACAGTTCCTTGGTAGCAGTCTGTTTAGCAATCTTTAAGAGAGCGGACTTTGGAAACTTGTTGTTTTGGTGTGTTTTTAAAACAATTTTCATTCTTTTGGTAAAAACTATGTTTAAGAATTTACCTTTGAGGTGGGCTATAATCATTTGTTTCAACCCTGTGATTTGGTTTCTAAAAATTTCGTTAATTTTTTTTAATAAAGCAATTACAACTTAAACCAAAAAGCAAGAATTTTGAATCATTAAAAAAAAAAAAACCAACTGTTTCCTAGGAGCCAATACAATCAAAAGTAGAAAAGACGTCCACATGAAACTTCTAAAAATTAAAAAAAGAGCGACAATTTTTTAAAATATAAAGTAAGAAACTCTGTATTACTCATTTTAAAAATATTTAGAAAAGCTCTTTATCATCTTGTTGGCTCAGATATGTATCTTATCATAGATAAGCTATTAGAATTCTGGAATCACATTTTTTCCTAAACACAAGCTATTGCTTAAGGGGAACTGACTTGGACAGCTTTTCAAAAATATGAAAGCTGAATTTTTCCCCAGGTAAAAATGGAAACAAAAATCTTTTATACCTCACTCTACTAAGTACTATTTTAGCTTAGTACAAAAAAAAATCTTCTTTAATCCTGGTTTAGCTTTTAATATTATATCACACATTAAAATTCATAAAGTAGTTCATTCCAGGCAAAACAAACTACTCTTCAGCTCTTCTCCGCAAATAGCACAGGAGGTAAAATAAATGCAGTTGCTTTCCGCATAGCTTTTATCAAGGTAGGGCGTACTACTCCATCATTACGGTGGCGCCGGGAAGTAGTTAGGAATTGGAGCTTCTACTATTTACCCTTTACCCTCCCACGTGAGGAGAGGGTGCAAGCACTAGGGTCGGCTGGCTTTATATATCTCTAAAATTGTATGGTAGAACACAGATTTTCCCTGAGAATCTTATTCTGTTTCTTTCTGGATTGCTGAATGCATCAAATCATACTAAAAAATGAACTCTAAATACTATATCCATGCTACATACTACATATGTACTACACAAAACGAACTCTACTATGGTCCTGGCTGGTAAGCATACTATTCCTTGATGGAGGAGGAACTGCCTACAAGTCCACAGCTCACGTGTGCATACACACACGCAATTAAAGTGTGATGTAGTTTTAATAATAATTATGATAACAACAAAGGCTGGCATTTATTACCTTTTTATCATGTGCTGGGGATCATGTTCAGATACGTTAGCTCTAACCTGCATGAAAGCCCTGAGTAAGTACTATTACTGCCCCATTTTAAAATTTGAGAAAACTCTCCAAAAACAAAGAATTTATTCATAAGGCAATGTGAGATCTAAATTGAAGTCTGTCTAATGCTAATGCTTATCTTAGAAACTAATGCTCTTTACTGAAGTTATGATGTTACACAGGATTTCTTTATTTGGAAAAATTCTAACTTTTTAAAGACATGCTGGATGTGCTTTTTGGTGGCCCTTTGCTAAATCTGGCTCGTTAATATCTAATTTTTAGCAAGTGGCTTTGTCACTCGTTTTAGAAATCCAACCTGAATTTATTTGGCAAGGTATGCAAACTATAAATGTTTTCTTGGTAATGTGATATAAGAAATGTGCTACTTAAAGGTATTCTTACTGGTGAAAGAAAATGGTCCCCATTTTCAAATTTTTGTACATTAAAACTGTTTGAATATCATGGTTCTATCTTTTTATAATTTTCTTTCTGTTCTTTTTAGGAACAATATTAATTATTTTCCAAATATGGACCTTAAAAAGTCCTCTAGTATTTTAAAAGATGACTGATGATGGGAAGCATTTCATGAGCACGTAAGATCTTAAAATCATGCTGGCCAAGTGATTCAAAACAAAACTTTTATTAAGTGTTAAGTTCCTGCCCATAACTGAACCTGTTTCATTACATTGTAGAAGACTTTGTTGGAAAGAGGTAGAAGGGTGCGCGCAGCTACAAGATGAATTACACATTGCTTATATGAACTTATTACATTTTCTAAAGGACTGTTATAAAATAACCCATCTTCCTTTTGAAGAAACTAAAGAATTACATAAAGAGATACAAAAATATAAAGAAAAAAAGCATTATGTAATTCGTGTAGAATTTATAACTTGATAATTATAGGCTTTCAAACAGTCCTTATGGAAACGCAAAGTGCTAACCTAACTCCAAAAGTCGCACATATTAAAACACACAAATAAAATCAGAGTAGGAGCGCAACTAAATAGAAATCATCAACTTAAAACTGATCTGTGGAAAAAACAAGTTCCAGAAAGTAACCACTAATTATTATTAATCAAACTCCTCCTATAAACTCATTTGTAAAATTTGCTAAGCATAGTAAGAAAAGAAGCCTTTAGGATCAGGGAGTTTGGGAGGGCTTGGGTTCCCCCAACATTTTCATATGAAGCAAAGTTTGGAAAGGGCTGTTTTCTCCACCATTTCAGAAATGCCCAACTGTCTGAAATCTTCGAGTGGATCATTTGTCAAACATTTAACGTATTCTATCAGAAGAAGGTTCTCATGTGTGTTCCTCTTCCTAATCTAAAAATAAAACTTCCCACCCTCTGTGACAAATAGAAGAAGTCCCCAAGTTTCATTTTCCCCTTTCTAAAGTGCTTGTGTTTCAAGGAGGTGGCTTGAGGTAGGAGAAAGAGCAAGAGACTTAATAGGCAGATGTGAAAACAAACTCAACCTTAAACTTGGTTTTCTTCTCTTTCTCCAACCATAAGGTTGGTATGAGGATTCAACGAATTCATGGGCGTGAAGTTGTCAGAGAACTGCGAACCATTATCAAGTATAAGATATTCTTATTTCCTGAATTAGAACATGTACATTATGAAAATAGGCTTTCAGCAAACATGTCGGACCTGGAGCCTACTGCTGTAGACAGAGGACAAAACCCATGGCATGGCTGCCCCTCTTGAAGCACATGGGATAGGTCTGCACCAGAGGTATCACTCCTAGGCAAGGGCTATAGTGACTTCTGATGTTTAGTCTAGATCTTCCCAGGGGAAAGATTCCTTGTAATAAAATATACAGCCTTACTAAAAGGGAAGTTTCTGCCTAAAGATCATTTAGAATCCAAGTTCCTCAACAATGTAGGTCTTCGGTCTGGTATGACCTAGGGAGGACATCTCCGTTATCTTTGGTATAACCTCAACTCTACAGGGTAGGAGTTGGAAGAGAATCCAGCTCTCTTGGTCCTCAAAGTGGTCTGGATCTCCTGTGAGCCAAAAGGGACCTCTGCCTTCAAAAAACAGTTTTCTTTAAGGGCAAATGGGTGGCTCAGTCGGTTAAGCATCCGACTCTTGATCTCAGCTCAGGTTTTAATCTCAGGGTCGTGAGTTCAAGCCCCATGTTGGGGTGTGGAGTCTACTTAAAAATAAATAAATAAATAAAAATAATAAAAAGCTGTCCTTTATAAAGAAATCAGAGTTCACGTCCAACAAGTTAAAGACTTGTCTCAAAATATGTTTCAGATCTCTTCATTTAAGGGGAAATGACATGCAATAATGAACTCCTCTTTGTCAAAATATAAAATTAAAAAAGACAAAATTCTGCCATCTGTTTCTGTATTTGTGGTTTTGTCCTTTTTCCCCCTTCCATTTTGATCATGTGTCATATGCATATTAAAACCTTAAGTATAGTGTATTGGTTCCCCTTTAAAAGCATTCAATTTCAACAGTTGCAAAACATTACTAATTTGGCTGCCAGAGAAACATTTGTTCCCATCTTAAGTACTCATTTTACATCGATAATACTTTTAATGCATTAAAGATTTCTTAAAATGTCATTCATAAAGTCACTGTTGGAGGGTAAAAGGTGAACAAACTGGTTGTGAGCTCTATTACAATAATATTAAGTAACGCAAAGGGATTCTCAGTAAGGCAAATTAAGATACTTGAAGATGCGTATTACAGCAGTGAAATAAAATTATACACACATCAGATAATCGTTTTGGAATTTGGTTAGATGGCCAGTAATACCGCATTTCAGAAACTTTTCTCCTTTGAAAGAGTTTCACTAAGAATCTGTGGTATCTCCATACCTTACATGTTCATCATTGGCTAGATATTCCAGCTAAGGGCTTGCTTCTCAAGCCCTCTTGAGAACAAATATAGCAAAGACTGGCTCAACCAGTTAATCAATAATGCAGGCCAAAATAAATGATATTTTCTACCGCAACTTAGCAGCAGTCTTTAGACACATATGTAAGAGAGCTGCCCAAGAGTATCTTAATAGTATGTGAAAAGAAATACCATTTAAAAATTACTGGAAACGTGGCTAAAGAAAAAACTTGATGAGTAAGGACAGCAGAATCACATTTGGAAAAACAAAAGCACCATGATCATATAAAAAATTAGAAAACAAAAACTGTGTTAAGGAACTACTAAGTCAAATATTTAGATAGATGAGAAAAAAAAAAAAGAAGGAACAGCTCAATGCTGAAGTTCATACTGATCTTAAGTAAGCAATTCTTTTGTTAGTATAGCAGATTAAGTGATAAGTAAAGTAACTCTTTGCCCAGAGGCCTTCTGTAGAAGCAAAGTTAACTAATGACGACGTATTAACTCTAAACACCACATACTAAGTGTTAAACCAAGTCCAAAGTATAGTATTTTTTGTTTAATCACTCTTAAAAAGTCATATACATACACATATAGTCATACATAGATATAAATTCATATATATAAAAAGTCATATATATATGTATATTCTCATTCTTTTTCTTAATACTTTATGGAAGGCTTTACAGATCAAATTCAATCATTGTGTGTGTAGACCAGTGGATACGTATACATGCAGATAGATACCATTATTCTGTGCTAGAGACATATGACTTTCTTATCCACAATTACAGCAATGACTTTCTTGCAGTCTATGCCCTAGACATTAAGACCAAATTGATTTTCATTACATAAAATGGAGAAAACGGACTTCGGACGTTTCTACAAAAGATTCATTTCATAACATTACAACATAGAGCTTTAAGAACCTCAACAAGTGACCGAATATTATGTCTATTCCTTATTGATGAAGTTATCTGTGGCAGTTTCATTTTTAGCGCTGTGTGTTTTTTCTATATTTCCATACACGGAAAGGCATTTTGTTTTGTTTTCTTTTAACTGCTGATGAAAAGAAATTAACATCAAGTTACGATTTCAGGATAACATTATATTACAGGAATACTTTGAATTTGTGTTCCACATTCAATTTTTATCACGTTTTAGCTGACCTTATTTTTAAGGGCTGTACATGCAATAAATTAAATGTGTAAGAAATATATTTGCCTATTGATTTGAAGTCTAAACCATTTTTGTGTAGTAGCTTATACTGCAAATCAACTTGTTGAATCCTCATAACAATTACAGGCTATCTTTAAAATTTGATTTAAAAAATAAAAATATAGATACACATACACAAAGTTACCTGCATGATGAGTTCTGTCCTTTCTAAAAAGTACGAAAATTTGGGAAATAGAAAATGTGCCCATTTCTGGGAATACGGGTGGAATTCCTTATCAGCCCCATTTAAAGCTGCCTTCAAGGATTGTATTAAACTTAATTATGAAAGATTACAAACGAGATGATGTGTAATTGGTACCAGCTGCACTTCGTATTGGAAAGCAAAAATACAAATGGAATTATTTATTTATTTTTATTTGTTTACTATTCAAACGGCAGTTCCCAAACTCATAGGGATAAAACTGACTTTATTACTTTTCTTCCTATTGAGTTTAAAATATTTCTTCACTTAATAATAGTAGTAGAGACAAACATCCCATTTAAAGACTACTTTCACCCCCAAAGAACCCCTAAAAGGAAGCAACACAAAGCAATTTTCTTTCCTCTAATTAGTAACTTACTGTTTTTATATCAGAATCACTGATTTGGGACCAAATTCTCCTCAAGTCACTCTATGAATTATTATTTTTAGAAAAAGTGGTATCTATTCATCTCTTTTTCCAATTTCTTGCTGAGATCCTTCCACAAACATTAAGAAAGAAGAAGAAAAGGAAGAAGAAGGCCAAAGAGGACAGGAGACTTCACCTGGGGAGGGCGGCTGGGCGGTGTGCTTATCAGGGGGGCAGGACCCATAGCCGAGGCAGCATTCAAGCTCCTTTCCCTTTCATCCTGGTAAATCCGATCTCTTTCAGCTTCTGGTAACTGCAAGAAATTCTGCATAGCCCGAAGGTTTACCAGCAAAGACTGGGATGCAGTCTTGGGGTCCTCTTCCTTTCGGAGGATTTCTGAAAGCAAGCCCTGCAGGGAATGAAAGGTACAGGGTGAGCTAGCTCCTGAGCTCTGCCCAGCCAGCAGTGATCCTTCCCTCTCTTCTGCTCTGTTTAGAAAATGAACAGTCAAAAGCATTAATTCTGCATAGAAATATGTTAGTTACAACTGAAGTGGTAGAGAGGAGAGCCTCAATTGTATTCTTAATTTTATTAAGCATCTGCTTTACATATAACACAAACTGAAACTGCCTAATTGGTCTCCTTCCTTTGAGTAGCTTAACTTGCCATGAAATCTTTCAGAGAGAGACGATCGAGGGAAGTTAAGAATAAATGAAATGCTCATAATACAACAGCTGAACTGTATAGTTCTCAAGCTGCCCAGACAAAGGCAGTGGAATGCAGAGAGCCCAATATGTAAAGATACAAAGCCACTTCTAGGGAAGGAGAACTTTCAAAGAAAATACCAGAAAATGAATTGTAACATATTAGAAAAAAGAATATTTCTAAAGCATGCTATGTTTTCATAGGCAATATTTTAAGTTATCCTTTAATTTTCAAATTAATGACAAGTGATTCCTTCTATTTAACGTTTAAGGAAACTGTACAGACTACCATGAATAATATCATGCTATAACTATACCTCTGGGTAACAGGTTGAAATTTTGAACTTCAGAAATCATTGATTAAATTTGAAATACATAACCCCATTTTTACAGTGCAAAAATCCATAATGGCATGCCCAGGAAAAGTGGGGCGCCTGGGTGGCTCAGTGGGTTAAAGCCTCTGTCTTCGGCTCAGGTCATGATCTCAGGATCTCAGGATCCTAGGATCGAGCCCTGCATCAGGCTCTCTGCTCAGCGGGGAGCCTGCTTCCCTTCCTCTCTCTCTGCCTGCCTCTCTGCCTACTTGTGATCCCTGTCAAGTAAATAAAATCTTTAAAAAAAAGAATACTATCAAATTCTCCAGTTGCCAATTTTTTTAAGGAATAGAAGTCTTTATTAGTTATAAAAGAAATTTACAAACCACTAGTAAGCTCCTTTAAGGTGTTTCTCTCTCCCCAAATACTAGAGCACTAATTGTCAACTATTTTTTTCTTTTTTAATTTTTGGAAGAAGCCTTTCAAAAATAAATGGGTTTCCTCATTTTTATTTAAGGAATTATATGAAATAAAGGATTACAAAAATGTTCTGCCCATTTGATAGGAGCTGAGCACTCTTTACCTCTTTCATTTTGTGCATGAAATCATGCCTGGAATACCAAGTCATATTTGCTTTCTACATTTAGCCAGAATATCAGTTTATCACAAGATAGCTCCAAATAAAATGCTGTCAAGATCTCCACGTCATTTGTAAATTTCACTTACCAATAACCCTGCAGAAATGGTGAAAGGGAACATTTAGGGAAGGGGAAGCAAAGTGTCATATCAAAATGATTGAGACTAAGATGATAACAACATTTGGAATTTTTCATGATTCCCTAGAAATGCAAACCTAGTTTTGTTCCTAATTCCTCAGGGATAAGGTACTATATTGCCTACATATAACACCTAGTCGCAGACAATATAAAAGCACTGTCCACTTTAAAAATGACTCAAAAGAACCTCCAATAGGACGAGGGGGCTTACAAGTAAATGTTAGTCTCTCACTTGGTCCTGAATTTGAAACCTGGAGAGTGGACCTGAACTTTCAGTTTCCCCATTAAAAAATGTGACTGAAGAATGAAGGGTGCATGTTCTTTCATTCATAAGACTGACAAGTAATGCTGCAACTGTGTTTATACAAGAATAAAACATCCAGTCAATTTAACTAAAATTCAGTCAAACAGGCAGTCAATCATCCAGCTATTTAATTTGCACAAGGCCAACTAATTAGATTGACTGTGTTTCTGATGTGTCACATTGAAACTGAAAAATACAGGTCTCAAAAAAACGCCTGAAAAGAGGTGTAAAAAAATAGTCCTTGCTTTCTACTTTTCCCCACCAAATGTCATATATTAGAAGATGTGCTTGGCAAAGCAATATATATGAGCTACAAAGAAATCAACAGACAAAATGTACAATATAGTTAAAAACAATGTTATCAATTCCTTGAGTAGAATAACCTAATACTCATTTCTGTCATCCCAGCACAATGCCTACCACATAAGTGTTTGATAAATATTTACTACGTGGATTAATTATGTGTATTCAGACCACAAAAGGAAAAAATTGTAAATGACTAATAGAAACTTAAGAACTAAGATATGCTACTCATGGGTAAATTCTAATGGAAATTCTTAATTTAATCAAGGTAAGGCTTCAATGAAAAGTTATATGGCACTTTGTAAGACATTTATCTACCTTGGCTGTTCAGAAATTGAAAAAAAAAAACAGATTAGGTCAAAAGAGAGCCTATAAATACTCAGCATGTTACTGTATTTGGGAAATTTGAAATTAGACATTTATAAATCTCAAATAACAAAATACTCTATCATCTCTATTAAAAATGTTTTCTGAGACAGCAGAGAACTATAGTGAGAAAAGCAAACACATGAAAAAATACATAAAATATTCTCTATCAAGTCGTGTTAATATGAAACTTAGTCATTCCTGCATGCTTAAATTAGAAGATAGTAGGTCACTTGGGAGAAAATTTAAAATTTCCTCTACCCATATTTTGATGTTGGTATGACTTCCCAGTAGAGCATTTAAAGTATTTTAGGGGCAAAGCGTTTATTTCCACTTACTTATTCTACTGCAGCAAGGACAGTTTTTCTGCCTGCAGTATGTTAAGGTCTAAAGAGATATTTCAAATCCTGGAACACTCAAAAGCAGCCAGTGTAGACAGTGTTAGGTGTTTTAGAAACCTTCGGATTTTTTTTTTTTTTTTTTTTTTTTTTGGCCCAGGCTTTCAATGAGGGGAGTGCCCCCTGGTGGAAATACTTGAAAATATTGTTAGAAAATGTTTTGATTAGAATGTGTTAATTATCCCCCTCCCCCAGAATGCATGTTCTCATCCTGTTCGAGTTGTTGTTATTTGAGTAGGTACATTTATGCATCAAGATGTACGTGGTCCCTCTTTCTTATTTCCCATAGTCAAAAATATACTTCAGACTTAGGTCAAGGTCATTTGTAGTAATCCCCTGTGAAGAGTTAAGAGGTATCTATTACCAAAATCTTTTCTTCATGCTAAAGTCATATGTCAAGGTCATGATGTACGTTACTTGCTATCCCAGAGAACACACTAAAACACCAGGACTGAAACATTATCATCAGTACTGTGCACCATAGGTCCTCAGTGAATTTACCGAACAAAGTCAAACAAAATCATCAGTCACTCTTGTTTCTGAAAAGAACTTGAAAATTTGTATTATGTAGTAAGTTACCAACAACTCATGAGTATTAATTTTATTGGAAATGAGACTCTGCTTTTCATTTGGACTTTACATCTTCAAATAATGCACTATGTGCTTTTTACATAAAAACAGAATTATTCTGCATTGTTATTACATAGGGGTTAAGTGAGTATTCTAATTTTTTTTTCACTTAAAGAGTGAACTTACTGATGAATTCCTAAACCTTTTTTACATTCCAAAAAGAGTTTACAAGTTATTACAAGTAAAATTCATTAGTAATTGTAAAAGAAAGAAAAAACCTCCAATAAATATTATCAGTACTTCCAAAAGCTAATTATGAATTCTTTAAAATAGCAGATAAGCGAAAGAGACTGCCAATCAGAACAAAAGGCCTGTCTGGCCTCCCGTTTGTCTCCTCTTTGAACATAATCACTGATTCAAATAGATTTTATCAGCTTCATGGAACTTCAAAGCCCTCAGAAGGAAAATATGATTTCATGAAACCTCCCTCTCTAAAAAGAAAATACGTAGAATATTCTTCAAGACTACCTGCCTCTGTTGTTTTGTGAATTTTTAATCATATGTCCAGGTGAAAGACTATTTTCAACTCCACCTACTACCTTGGACTCCTGCCAAGTAAGTTATAAGCAGACGCATTTATCTCTGTCGCTTGGGAGGCTAAACGAGAGCTGTCACGTTGGGGTAATAGCACCTTTTTACCTTTTATTCAATAGTGATATGGATAGTGGACTTTCCTTAAATTACACTGTGAAGAATTATAGGAACATAGTAGCAATTTCTGTTATACTTAAGCAGGCAAATTTCTCTCCACCACATAATTTACAGAACTCAAATTCAATAAAACATTACATGATGGTCCATTACTGTTATCAGTTTTGAATAATCCATCTTCATTCTTTATTTTACTGGAAAATAAAGTGTGCCAAAGACAAGGGGCGGGGGGAGAAAAAAGGGAAAAAAGCCACAGAATGGGATCAGAGTTAAACTCTGGGTTTTATTTTTTTTAAAAAAAGGCACTAACGAATGTATTTGCTTCTATCACAATCCTTAAATCGCAATAATACAGAGAAGTGAACTGAAAAGTATATATCTAGAAGCTTTGGCAATTATTTTTAGCCATAGGTTTCCATTAAAAAGACATCAAGTAGGCATAACTGAATGAATGACATATGCTAAAAGCTGGTATCTTCAGTAGCAATTAAAGAACATATGCCCATCAATTCAGAAGGGGAAAAAGTCCTTAGAACAAGTAATTATATAAATTTCACCATAAATTTTCAGAAAAGGTAAACTTTTTTTTTTCTTTTTTAATAGTCAAGTGTGAAAGTCTTAAGAGAGGGGTTTTATTAGGAGACCCAATTAGGATGATGAGAAAGTTCTTCCGTTAAGACTTAAAACATGAAATCCAGGATTTTAAAGTTGCACAGAGCTGTCAATGACTAAAATGGTCTCAATTCATGATAGTATTATCTATTATATTAATGTTTTAACATACTGTTTATAGGGTACCAGTTTCTTTATCTGATCATATCATAACTTTGCATTTGCATGTACATATTTTACATTATTTTTTAAAACTTGGATTTGGAATTGCACATTGTAATAAGTGCACACAAATGTGTGATGTGCGATTTAACTGCAGAGCTCCTTGTCTATACATATGCATTAGCATGTGTATTTTCGTACTCCACACTTACACCATACACTCTCACTCTGCACCTGCTTTTATTGAAATGCATACACTTTGAAATAAACACACTACATGCATTCATATGAATGTATAATCATTAAAATAAATGCAGCTGTGTGTGTGCGCGCGTGTGTGGTTTTTAAGTATGACCACCAAAAACACACGTATGCTTGCATGTTCAAAAGCTCGTTCCCAAAAAGTGAACACTTAAATATACATAGACAATTACGCTAATTTATGTCAAACAGCTTCAAATATGGCCAATATCCACTTCAACTGAGGATACCAATAACTAATATAAAGGTCTAAAACCAAATCCCTCTATCACCCTGGGCTCCAAATAATTTTTATGGTAGTAACTTTCTTCTAAATTAACTATTTTAAATAAAGAGAGCTCGATACCAAAGCTGTCACTGTTTCATTCCCCTACCACACTCACAAAAATTTAAGTCACTGTTTTTGATGTTAACCACAGAGATAACTATCTTTTCAAAGAGATTAATATGACATAAAAAGAGAGCAAATTCTAATTCTGCCTTCTTCCCAGCAACAAGTCCTAGAGATATCCATGGAATCAGTCACTGTGAGAACCAGATGCAGAACAAGTGGTCAGCTCTTCAGAGTAATGGTGTGACATCACAACCCAAGAGAAGAAAAACGGTACGGACGGATAGTAACTTCACACATCCCTCAGCTAACCTCTCTAGTCATTCTTCACCATATAAAATACATTCCTTAGTGCTTTAAGAAATAACACATTGCTCAATTTTTGAAACACTTATCAGTAAATCTATATTTCATGTGTTCATGTCAATGGGTTTTCAATTAAATTGACAAGCATTTTACTGATCTGTTATGTAGAGACCTATTTTTTCCCAGTACTGAGAAATACTAGAAGTCACCGCTATTTCCAAAAATAAAGAATGCTGCTAGAAACAGGATTATCTAGAAGTTCACTCTTGATTCATTCATTCATTCATTTAATTTTTTAAATAATTACTTCCCACTGAATATGGTATCACGAAATTTACCGGCTAATAATGAACACATTTTTTAAGTTGTAAAAATAGAGAAGTAAGTAAAATCATATAATTTTAACCTGAGACATAACCTTCTGCAACTCCCCTTTAAAAAAGACAAATGATGCACAAAAAATACAGATAAAGAAAGTGAAAACAAACACTGATTTAGTTAAAGGCTTTGTCCGGCCTCCTAACTTCAATCCAGTTAAAGCGAGCCAAAAATAAGTCACTGCTGGGACTCTCCTAGATATGGAAACTCTGCCAATAAGGAATTAATACTAGATTATTTTTGTACCAGAATCTCATTGTTATAATCATGTAATAAACAAAATAACTTAAATATGAAAGGAAAGTATGAGTCAGGCCAAAAAACAAATTGACGAAAGAACAGTGGTAAAACAAGAAAGTTGAAAGGACATAACGTCCTCATTTCTAATCAAAGTTACATGTTCTCTTGGTTTTTTTAGTGTGCCTGGGCCAAAAATAAAAACCATACGAACCATACTAATTTCCAAAAAAAGAAATAAAAAAAAAATCCTCTCATTCACAATTTAATAGAATGGATTTGTTTCAGACTTTTCATCTTAAGGCCTTCCCATATCTTACTACCACTCTTTCTCCAGGTCCCTCTAAACATCTTCCCTGCTGATAATATCTTCACAGGTATTTGCCCAGGAGGATAAAGGTGTGAACATTGAGTATGTAGATCTCAGGGAGAAGTCTGCAAACTAAGGCCTGCAGGCCAAAGCTACCCCTGGGCCTATTTTTTGTAAATAGTTTTCCTGAAACACTACTAGGACACTCACATCCATTCACCTATTGTCCATGGCTGCCTAACACCGGACACTGTGACACAGCTCTTATGGCCCTCAAAGCCTAAAATGTTTGCTATCTGGGCAATTACAGAAAATATCTGGTGGTTTCTGATCTAAAGAATGAAATTTGGAGGAACATTAGTAATAATGTAAAGAGGGGAGGAGACAAAGCTAAGAAACATTTCAGGTTAATAGGCCCTATGTATACATATCTGTATAACCCCCTCCCCAAGGGCTGTTCAAATTAAAGGGTAGAAATTGCTATTTATAGAGTACCACAATGTTTTTTGGGGTTTCCGCCCTCAAAAGTTGTAGAGGAACATAAACAAGGGATGTTAACATATTTATGTCAGATACGGGGGTAACAGGAAAGATAGTGGGCTAGAAGCTCAGAGTCCTACCAATGGCCCTGACCAAGTCATGAAATGCTTCTCAATCTGCTTCTACTACCAGCCTATGATTTCACTATGTAAAAGCATAGGTAATGACCATTTGAAATATATTTGACAATGAATTTATCCTCTCAAGGCTCTTGAGTCGTTGGTCTGTATCTTTCTTGGTAAAGGAGGTTTAAGAGAGGGAAAGGATGAGATGAAACTTAGGCACCACCAAGAACAAGACAGTGTGACCACACGACAAGAAGGATTAAATGTTAACACAAAGTAAAAGAATCAGCATTAGTCAAGGACTAAAGAGAGAAGGGAGAAAAAGGAAAGAGAGAACCATTACTAACAAAACAAAACTGACCTGAGTTCTGTTAAAAGCCACACGTGCAAATACTGCCTGGGAGATTCCTGCTCGTTTCAGTTCATCGCGTACCCACTGGTAGATTTCGGAAGACACCTCTGTGTTGGTTGAAACCTGTTGCTCCAAAGGCTTATTCATAGATCTACTGACAGGGGGAGGGTGGTTCAAGTATTGTTGGTTTAAGGACTGCTGGGCTAAAAGTCTATTCACTGCATACTGCTGGTTCAGCAGCTGAGCCATCACCAGCTGCTGGTTGACCAATTGAGGACTGATGGGCGTTGACACGAGCCCAGGGTGCAGGTTCGGTAGAGGGGTCCGGACAGAGGGCTGGCTGCCATGGGAGAGCTGTGCGGGGGACGGAGGCTGCTCAGCTGTGTTCCCTGGGACCGGCTGCTGGCCAAAGTTGACGTGATTGGCACCTTGCTGGGATAGTTCAGAGAGACTATCCATTTCAACTAAAGCAGACAAAAGGAAAGTCATGTTAACAGTGATGGGTACGCTGATAAGGATTTCTGACCATTTCCTAAACAGAGACAGTAGGCACAGGGCACATTAAAGATCCAATTAAACTAAGAAAATTTCAAGATGGAACTCAATGGCTATGTTTTTACTTCCCTCTTCTGCACAATTCTACAAACTCTGAAAAGGGGACTGTCAGGTACTTAATGTCTAGTTATATAATGCAGTTAGGCTTAAGGCATAAAATTAATATTTTTAAATTCTAATTCTCCAAGAAGGCTTATAAGCAATGGTTATTTTAAATTAAGATAGCTTCTAGAAGAACACTGATTGTTTAATAAGAACTAGAGCTAAGAAAATATATACATTAAAGCAAAAAGAAATATACGTGTATTTTTCCATGATATATATTAACTGTTATTACTCAAGGCAAAAGGTTTGAAAGGGAAAAGAGGACATAAATGTTATCTATGTTCAATTTTTACCTAGCCATGAATATATAAAGAAGTAATCAATATAATAAATAAAGTGATCATAATGATAAGTAATAATAACTGAGTACATATTGAACACTGGGTTGAGTATCTTATATGGCTTGCTTCATTTAATTCTAACTATCATGGGTGGCAGGTATATCTGCAAGAGAATGAAGCAAATGATTTACTGTATTGCAAGCCAGTATACCCAGTTTTGCTAAGATCCAAATGTCTCTTGCAGAAGCTATGGCTATCACCAGATGCTAAAGACAATCTTTCAAGGAAGGGGCGGGGAGTCATCCTGGTACAATGGTGATACTGTCATGATTTTGCAATTTATTACCACCTACCAGGATGAATGCTTCTCCCTTGGCTAGGTCCCTAATGTGGATTGGCTGAGAGTCAGCTGTAAGTATGTCAAGTGCTTTGCTGCCGCAAGGAAGAGACTGGTTTGATGCTCTTAAATGGAAAGGCCGAGCGTGGTTGGTGTATGTAAACAGGTGAGTCTTCTCCAAATAGCACACCATGTTTCTCATGTATACTCTGGCTTGATTTTAATCGCCATTTCTCTTATTAAATATTCAGGCTTTATATTTAGAGGAACTTATCACATTGCTATAATCACTGATATATGCAAAATATAACTAAGAATTGGGAAAGAAACCTTCCATTTCTACCAGTGATATCAGCCCAAGTGGGCCATTCACAGGGAATAGTAATTCAAGCAATTATTCCAAAAATGATGCATTGTCTTCATTACAGCTCTAAGCTATAAAAGGCAAAGAATCTGTTTTGGTAGATGGATGGCTTTGCTTCAAATATTAAAAGCTAAAACATGCTCAAAATTCAGGTTCTCTTGTTTCTTAAAATCTTTAGGAGAAGTCATTGTTGTTGTTGTTGTTGTTATTAAATGGATGCAATGGAAGGAAAGAGAAACAGATTTAAAACAGGGCACAATGCTATGCATATTAACATCCCATTCCTATATTATTGGGAAGGTACAAGTACCTGAAAGAAAACATTAATAGAAATTAAAACATTAACCTTGATCACAGTGTTTGGTTTTGTAACACTAGCAAACTCAAGAGGGAGAAAACATCATAACCTCAATGCTCCGGCACAACACACAACTTTTTTTTTTTTTTTCTTAATTTGTCAGAGAGAGAGGAGCAAGAGTGAGCACAGGCAGACAGAGTGGCAGGCAGAGGCAGAGGGAGAAGCAGGCTCCCTGCCAAGCAAAGAGCCCGATGTGGGACTCGATCCCAGGATACCAGGATCATGACCAGAGCTGAAGGCAGCTGCTAAACCAACTGAGCCATCCAGGCGTCCCACAACACACAACTTTTATCTGCCGTTTTTGTTACACTAATTTTTAATGCATTTACTGCATAACGCATAGTGACCTGAAGTTACATGTGAAGATGGGCAGCCATTCTAGAATTAAAAGTTGAAAAATGGTGTAATGAGGACTCCTGTATGGACGGTAAAGCAGTGTGCTCCCTGAAGTGCCTATCTAGAGGGGCAGGCAATGAGACCTATAAAAATCACTTGATCTCAAAAAAAAAAAAAAAAAAAAAAATCACTTGATCTCAATTGTGGAAACTATAAATACAATTTAATTTCCTTAAAAATTGGGTGTAAAAATAGGCACTTTCTCTCAAACAAAAACAAAACACATAAAAGCATGAGTTATCTCTGAGAGAAATCACAGCTAATATTAGTTATTCAAGGCCTGGTTAGGTCTTCACTGAGATGTTAAAAAATGACAGCTTCCCTCCTCCCGCCTCGATTCCCTGCATGTCTGACAACCAAGTCAGTTTGGCTGATTTAAACACAAACATTTATTGAATTTAATTATCTCATTATACTCATACCCACTCCCCACCCTCAAAGAAACATTCTAAATTGATCTCTAATTGGGCAATCACAAGACCTGGCTTTAGATGTGACTTTGATAAACCCCCAAATGACACATAATGGTATGTAGCCACCACTGCAACAGTTTTTTGCTTACCCATCATATCTTTTGTCTTCTTGAAATGTTTGTACCACCTTCCAAATTCTTGACATTTTGCTGCTGAGACATTTGCATAGTAAGTGCTGTTCACAATGGAAGAAATCATACTCTGCATGAAGAGGGGGGGAAACATTTGTAATACATATCGGCACAAGATGGAACACAAAAATGATTCCAATTGTATAAATGGTATTTTTTTTTTAATTAACTGACTACCAGTACATTTCTGTTTTGCACTTTGGCCTAAAGCCTCAACTTCTTAAAATTCATTAAGTAGTGCCTCAAATGCTTATTTATGTACAAAGCAAGAGTCCACTGAGACCAGTATAAAGCTATCAAACCAACAGACTTTGCTCTAGTATTTATGGAACTTCTATCAATGTCATCTATTCTTAGGCTGACAAACGTTCACTGATCCCAATAACTCCAAGGACGTGAAGATGACTTTATGACTGAATTCATCAACACTACTTTGAAGTTAAGTGACTGTACTCCACACCCTTGCTATTCCAAGTATGGCCCAGAAACCACCAATTTTGGCATCACCTGGAAGTCTAGTAGAAATGCATAATTTGGGGGCACCTGGGTGCCTTAGTTGGATAAGTGTCTACCTTCAGCTAAGGTCATGATCTCAGGGTCCTGGGATGGAGCCCTGCATCAGGGTGCCTGCTCAGCAGGAGGGCTGCTTCTCCCTCTCCCTCTGCCCCCACTCCACCATGCTAAATAAAAGTCTTTAAAAAAAAAAAAAAAGGAATGCATAATTTTGGGCCCTACAGTTTAGCAAGATCCCCATGGGATCTGAGTGCGCATAAAGTTTGGGAAACACCATTTGTACTTTCTACTCCAATTAGCACTCTTCAAAGGTTAACTGACCAGATTTAAGGGAAAAAAAAAAACAAACTATTCACAGATATCCTCATTCAGAGAAAGAAACATTCTACAATCTTACCGCTAGCTTCAAGTACAGTAAAGCCAAGTTCTGCATTTCAAACTAACCATAAAATTTAAAAATATACACATTTCATGCTTACTAATTCTCAAAGATACCACAGAAAAGAAAATGACCTATTTTGTCATTTGTCTTCACTCCGCTTTTAACAAAAACCCTGAAAACAAAGTCAACAGTTTAACATATAAAAACAAAGGCAGGAATGAGAATAATTTGGGAGTTCTTTTTTTTAAATTTTTAACTTCTTTTCAACAAACAAAAATGTTTTCTTCCCAGCAAATTTTGGTTATGGTAATTTCAGTAACTTAACTCATTGTTATTTTTAATCCTAATGCCCATTTACCTAGTAGCGGTTCAACTAATTTCCAACTGCATTTTAGGAATAATTAGACTTGCATCACCCACCCGCCCCCAACTCATCTGTATAGAAACGTGAGAACTCACATTTCAGACTTCAGTTGGTCTATGGTGAAATAGTTTACAGAATGCAGCCTTGTTTGGGAGGCAGGGAACAACCAGAAAAGCCAGTTTGGGGACAAAAGTATTTTTGTATCATTTTCTTTAAGCTACTTCTAATTTAAAGTTCTTTTGGTTATTTTTGATTCTCCTGACATCCAATATCAGTGTTAATTTTGTAACATGAATGTATTCCTGTAATATGTAACTCTTGGGGATCTTTGAAGAATTTCCAGTGAAGGATAAGCCAGAGTCATATTATTTACATAAAACAGCCATCTTTCCTACGAGGCACTGGGATATTTTTTTTTTTTTTTGGACACTTTCTATTTTATAGTCATTTTCACATTTTATATCTCTAAAAAGACATTCTTAATGTGCTCGTGGTTCTCTGCCATTAATCCAGTGGCCTGCAATTTTACTAAGAGCCTCCCTCAGTCCAGAGTACAAAAAGATACTTAGCAAGGGTTGCCAAAACCAGAGCCAGAAGATTACCTGATCCAGTTAACAATCCTTCAGTTTCAATCCCAGCTCCAATCACACTTACTCTATTGTAACAATGGATCAGTAAAGTCAGACACTAATAAAACTACTGAGATTGCTGATGGATAATGGTGATTCTGCAAATGGATGACAGTTGATGTTCTTCCATTTTGATCCAATTTTTAAAAAATTATTACTCTTATTCCTAGACATTCTGGCAGTTTCTTAAATGTCAATATAATAGTACAGACAAGTTTTAGATGTAGTTTAGCTCTTAGTTTTCAAAAATGTACAGGAATTACCTAAATTCTGCCGAGGTTTCTGACAGACATTGTCTGTTTCAGTTTGCCAATAGTTCTGTATATGAAATTTGCTCTTTGCCGCACACCTACTATGTGCCCGACTGGTACTAGGGATACAAAGGCAGACTGAGACACAGCCCCTGCTTGTAAGAAGTCTACCATCTGTTAGGGAGACAGATACATCAACAGATCACTTCAATTTAATGTGATTTAGGAGACCAACAGTGGAAAATACATAGGGGGACAAAAGGAAGAATACGTGGTATGTGTAAAATCAACCCATCTGAAATATTTTTATGACTTTGGAGCCCATATGTAATAGTGCTATGTGGTTCATTATTATCCATATGTGGAAAATAATACCCATATGTGCCCGATCATCAAAGCTTCCTCCTGCCCTTGTTTAACCCTAACTTGGAAGGCTCTGTCCTTAAGTGACTTTCTGTATGCTTTCTACTCTCTCAAGTGCTGTGTGCTTAAGAAACTCTGATTAATGTAAATATTAGCCCAAGCAAGACGTAAATCAAAAGGCTAATCCACCGGTTATGACACATGCCAAAGCCACTATTTAAATTCTCTGACTTTCTGTACTTTTAGGGGACTGGGAAATAGTCCATAATTCAGGTAACATGGGGTAACCTCTATTTTTATTGGAACAATATGCAGTAAACTGTACAACTAACCTACTCAAGTGGCCACTGCATGAGGACTTTTTTTTTTTTCCTAGTAGTAAAGTCCCTATTGGAGACTCAGGTGTGGCATCTGCCTAGCTTGTGAGTTTCAAGGGCAAGAAAGAGAGATTTCAGAAAGTTGAGAGGCACATGGCATATGAAAGATCATATTCAGTACTGGTTCTTAAATTTGGAAAATCATAAAGAAACACCTATTATTTGGATAACACAAATAACAAAATCAAGGGGGGGGGTACTATTTTTCCCAGAGGATGGGGACAGGCAGTGAGGTAGGCAGACCAAGATCCATGTTTATAGGAAGAGATGCTTGGGATTCTTATGTCAATCAAAAAAGACCCTGGTTCAAACAGATCACACTAAGTTGTGAGTTTATGCAGCTCTAGGGCTCCATATTCTTTTCCAGCCCAAATGTCTGGCATCTACTAAACACACACTAAATATTCATTTGATGAAAGAGGAGAGCTAAATCTGCATTTAAGTCCAAAATGTGTAGTACACTGGCAGTGTGACCTTGTTCAAGGTACTGACCCTCATTTTATCATAATCCCCTTTACTAAATGGGAGTCATAGCAGCACTCACTTGATACGGTTGTTCTGAGAATCCTTTCCATTTAAGGCATTTTTTTTTTCATTCATTCAGCAGATATCTACTGAACTCCTACTATGTACTAAGCAGTAGGCAAGTTATTAGAAAAATAATGACCTGAAGAGAGATGCTATCTACACTTACACAGACAATAAATAAAATAGTGAATGTTATGCAATTAGCACAGAGCTGGGAACATAACCGAGTATGGACTTAGGAGATGCTAATTACTATGACAACCCTCTGTCCTCCTCCTCACTGGCTTTTATTATATGATCACATTTCAGATCAGTCGAAAGACTATGCTTTAAATAACAGAAGAGTATCAGAGAGACTTTTCAAATGATACATTGTAAGTCAAATACATTTTCTTATGAAGAACAGAGAGTATACTAACTAAATTTATTAAGTTATAAGTTGGGTCAAGGGACAATGAGAAAACACCAAAGGAAAAAAGTATTCCCCCCATTTGTTTCAATATTCCAATCTGGCACTATCTTGTGAGGCTGGCCTACAACCTGGTAGCAGGCCTCAGGAAGACAAATACCACTTCTCTGACTTGGATTTTCAAGCCATGCCCTATCCCCTCTGGCTAATAGCAGCTTATCCTTCAGGACAGAGCTAAGGCATCCCCACTTCTGCAAAGCCTTTCCTGATTTGCCTTGGTGTCCATCCAGCACGTAACACCTTCCCAGCACTTTTCTTGCTGCTGTGAGTCTTGGGGCTTATCCCTGAAAGGCCTGGACTCACCACAAGGCTGGGCACGTATTAGGTGATCAATCAAAGGTTTAAAGGTCACTGAAATTAGCCATTACTGCAGGCTACCAGAAAATCCTTTTTTTTTTTTTTTTTGTCCCTAAAGGTGAAAGGCAATGGCAGCTTGTCCCATGAATCTTTTAAAATGCATCACTTTTCGCTGTCATGATAGAACACATAGTTTAAAGAAACTTTGTTCATTAATTTGCAAGAGATCCCTTCCCAGGTTTTTCAAAATACATCCACACAGATGTCTCGGAAGTCGCAGTGCTCGGTGGTTATGTTATTCCAGTTCTCTCTCTTTCTCTCTCTTGGTGTCTATTTATACAAGCTCCCCAAAGCACTTTGAAAAAGGCACAACTTGTCTCTCAAGGTTTCCTATTCAGTGGCCGGTCTACGTAAAATGTCAGCGTCAAGGGAAGGAAATAATCAGGCTGACAAACTGAGTCCGCTCATATCCCAGGTTCAAATGCTACACAGTACACCAACCAATGAATAGGCCCACTGCTTCCAGGGTTGGGAAACGCAATCTGAAAGTTGGCGGAAATTGGCTGTGGGTCTCATAACCCCAGTGTGACACAATATTCTCATCCTAGGAGCCAAGTTGTAAGCTTTTCTAAGATCCATAAAGCACATGTCTGCTCCCTATGAAGAGCTTCGGTTCTTTCTGAGAGCCTGCTGAAGTTCGGATCTGAAAGAATGCCATCTTCACAGAAACCCCAGTACTCTAGAATGATACCATCTGCCACAGGCTGAGCTTCCTTTTCAGCCAAATACATTATTTATAACCTTTCTAATTGTGAAAAGGTAAGGGTGGAATTTTTCTAAAGCCTGACTTAGATATAGTTAGAACATTCTGAACCTTTGCTCTCAAATACTGCAGGT